GTGGGTGACTGAAATAAAAACAAAAAACACATTACACAATGCTTGACTATGTCTCAAAATATTTTCAACAGGCACATATTTCTTCAAAAGATTACTTTGGATTTATAAGATGGAGCTTCCTCTTTCTATATTTATTTAGAGCGTGTTGTGGAGTGTGGCTGAAATTCCAAAGAGGTGGGGGGGGGGGGGGGGGGAGGTTATTTTTATATATGGATTGTTAGGAACCTGAAATTACCCCCACATACAATGTATGTTCTTCCTTTAATACCAGATTTAAATTTCAAGAAAAGATTGTGGGACCACATCTTCTGAATTTCCCTCCCTTAGGAGGCATGGATTTACCATCCTTACATGGAAATTATTTCCAGCATAAATTGCATGGTTATTTTAAATAGAATTTCCATTTGAGTTGATTAAAAGCGCTGTGAAACCCTTGTTTACCTGGTGCTGGCTTCCAGTGTGAGTTGATTTTCCCCTTACCTGGGATTGATTTCCAGTGTGGGTTGATTTTCCCCTTACCTGGAATTGATTTCCAGTTTATATTAATTTTCCCTTACCTGGGACTGATTTCCAGTTTATATTAATTTTCCCTTACCTGGGATTGATTTCCAGTTTATATTAATTTTCCCTTACCTGGATTTGATTTCCAGTTTATATTAATTTTCCCTTACCTGGGATTGATTTCCAGTTTATATTAATTTTCCCTTACCTGGGATTGATTTCCAGTTTATATTAATTTTCCCTTACCTGGGATTGATTTCCAGTTTATATTAATTTTCCCTTACCTGGATTTGATTTCCAGTTTATATTAATTTTCCCTTACCAGGGATTGATTTCCAGTTTATATTAATTTTTTATCTTACCTGGGATTGATTTCCAGTTTATATTAATTTTCCCTTCTTACCTGGGATTGATTTCCAGTAAAGAGTGACCTTTCTTTACCTGGGATTACATGGATCTCGATTCTCTATATTTGGGGCTGTTCAAAAGTCCCATTTCCCAATTCAAAAAGATACCTTTTTTCCCAATTGAATGTGTTCATTTTCCCAAAGACTTTTCTCCCCAAAAATTAAGGAATTGGATATATATTTAATTAATTTGCTACTCATATTTACTCTGTATGCAAAACATAAATTAGTTGATAACCAACACCAGGAACTCAATATTTATATATAATAATATATATAATGATTTTCATGTACAAGATTATCCCAAAATTCCCCACAAAGTTACTAATTTTCCAAAATTTTATGGTCCTGGCCTCAATCCCAAAAAGTGGTGTGAGAGCCCTGGATCAATTTCTAGTATAGATTGTTCTACCCTTACCTGGGATTGATTTCCAGTATAGATTGTTCTACCCTTACCTGGGATTGATTTCCAGTGTGGGTTGGTCTTCCTCTAACCTGGGATTGATTTCCAGTGTGGGTTGATCTTCTCTTTTACCTGTGATTGATTTCCAGTGTGGGTTGATCTCCCCTTACCTGCGATTGATTTCCAGTGTGGGTTGATCTCCCCCTTACCTGGGATTGATTTCCAGTGTGGGTTGATCTCCCCTTACCTGCGATTGATTTCCAGTGTGAGTTGATCTCCCCTTACCTGGGATTGATTTCCAGTGTGGGTTGATCTCCCCCTTACCTGGGATTGATTTCCAGTGTGGGTTGATCTTCTCTTTTACCTGGATTGATTTCCAGTGTGGGTTGATCTCCCCTTACCTGGGATTGATTTCCAGTGTGAGTTGATCTCCCCTTACCTGGGATTGATTTCCAGTGTGGGTTTATCTTCTCTTTTACCTGCGATTGATTTCCAGTGTGGGTTGATCTCCCCTTACCTGGGATTGATTTCCAGTGTGGGTTGATCTCCCCTTACCTGGGATTGATTTCCAGTGTGGGTTGATCTTCTCTTTTACCTGCGATTGATTTCCAGTGTGGGTTGATCTCCCCTTACCTGGAATTGATTTCCAGTGTGGGTTGATCTTCCCTTACCTGGGATTGATTTCCAGTGTGGGTTGATTTTCCCTTACCTGAGATTGATTTCCATTGTTGATTGATTTTCCCTTACCTGGGATTGATTTCCAGTGTGGGTTGAAGCAGTCTGTATCTCTCCTCCTGACTTTTGCCAGCCAGCGTTGTCCTTAGAAAATGTCTGGCTGAAGCCATCTCTGCCACGGTTATCACACATGGATGGGATGATAATCTCTTTGTCACCTACATTGTATATGAGAATAAAATTGAAGTTAACAAAACTAGAAGTCTGTGAGCCAATGCTCACTAATAATACTCCTGCTCCGATGTGAATACACAAGTTCATTAATGGACAGACACAGAAATAAACAAGAAGTTGACATTGGATTTGTACCAAAATGCATATCTTCAACTTCGTGCACATTAATGTCAACTTACGGTATTAACCAATCAGAAAACATTTAACTGTTTGATAAGATACTGAAGAAATGCAAGTCATTGTTACGCTTTGCAGGACAGCAGTTACTTTAATTTTTCAAGTGTAAATATGACACCAATTGTTAAAGCATTGTAGCAAAAGAGATTACAAGCCAGGGGGGAAAAGCTCAAAGTTTAAAAGTATGTGTGATGATGATACACGCCATAAGGGTGCAGTGTTTTTAAAAGCAATGCGCCATTATTTAATTTAATGCAACTATGGTGCAGGGCGCGTGCTTATCCCAATCACTGGACTGTACAGAAACTTTGACATGGTTTTCTCTGAAATTTGATAATCTTCTTGGACAGCTTACCTTAACTTTACTGACTTTGTTCATGAGTGTGTTGGAGATCCAGTCCATTAAATCATTGGCGTCAGACCGAGACAGACTGCCCGAGTCGGACTCTCCTATCTCCTCATCTTTATCTACACTGGTAATCTCATTCTCAATGGATTTGAGATTCTTCTTGTAAAACTGTCCTAGATTCATAAGAACGAGCTCATCATAGGGCTCGTACAGGAACAACACTTCTTTGTCTTCTTTCTGTAAAGCTTCTAGGTAGGGGGAACTCTCCGCCAATTGACGACTGGAAAAATTCAAATTTAGGTAATAATCAACCTGCAGATTATATAACTCACAGTAACTTCTACCTCAGATGATACTGGATTTGCTTGACAGCACAGTTACACATAATACTTTTAGGATGGCAGTCAGTGAGGCAAGTGAAATTTTTAAGGAATTTGGGTAAATCTATTTAAAGTCGAAGTTCATAATGTTCAGAGCACCCGTTTTTTCTTTTTATTTATACATTTTATCTCTGGTTTCTGATTACTTTGTTCAGACTGAAGTTCTGTAACAAAATATTTTATCATCACTTTTATATTAATTTGCTCCATCCTTCACTCTGTGGTCTGTACTTTCGCAAGGACATGTATAGCAGAGAATGTTTTGTACTGTTTTACAGTCGGTACTTACTTTGGAGCAGACAGGTAGAAGATGTCTCGAGCTCCTGCCTTCATCCTCTCTACATACTCATCCAGACCAATCACTTCCCCCGGGGCCATCTTAGATGACTCAAACCTCAGAAGCTTAGCTATTCTCTCCTTCAAACAAATCAATTGTAGTCAGTACAGAAAAAAAAATCTCAGCACATTCTGGCTGATATATTTATTGAATTCACCTACTTTGGCATTTCATAGATTAGAATATTTTTTTGAATTGTTATCTAAATTGTTTAGTTGGAAAAATGAATTCCAAATTCAACACACATTTTCTACAACTGACAAAAAAATATATTAAGAGGCTATGAGGTTTGATAGAAAAGATTTGATAAGCAAATTATCAAAATAATATGGGTGTTTTTTTCCCTTCAAATTTGAATTTGTACTTAATTATTAAAAAATAAGCAATGACATAACAAAATGTAAATAAGTTATGTTAATTTAGTGATCTGATGTTCAATTTCAGGCTCAGTAGTTCAGTTAGTTGATGCAAAGCATATGCTATTATTTAGTGGCATTTTATGATCCTTCTCCAAAAAACTCTCATACATTTAGCTCTCATAAGTTTTCATTGAGGGCACAAGAGACAACAGGGCAACAACATTCACCATAGATGTTATTCCAGATGAAAGGCTTTCTAAATTCATTTTATACATTTCTATATATATATTTAAATATATAAATTTGACCCTCAATTATGGCCCTGTCCTAGCCCTAGAGGTTTATTTGAATGTACACTTGAGCAAAGACATGGATATCAAAATGACTGATTGTGGCTCTGTTGTTCTTGAGGATAAGATTTTTATAGTTTTGCCCCATATGTTACCATACAAAACTCTGACCCCCTTTCACAGCCCCATTCTAATCCTAGGGCCATGATTGGAAGAAAATTGAAACTACTCTAGAAAATAAAGCTGTCAAATACATGTAGGTTTTGTTTTTTCTAGTCAAATGGTTCTTGAGAAGACTTTTTATATGTAACAATTTCTTAATTATCTCCTTTTGAAAAGGACTTGCATCTTCAGTTGATCGAAATTGAATTCCTTTCACCTAAGAATGCTTTGAGGCAAGTTTGATAAAAATTTGCTAAATGGTTCTGAAGAAGTTTATAATGTGGGAAGTGTACAGACAACACCTAATATATGACAGACAAACAGGAAGACAGCTTCACAGACAGGTGAACGCTGAACATTCTTTGATCAGAAAAAGCTCACTTGAGCCAAAGGCTGAGTTGAGCTAAAACACTTTAAATCTCACCCTTTGATCTTGTTCATGTGTTGTCACAATGCCCTCTCTGAAGAAGAGTCCATAATCCTCATAAAACTTCATGTAAGTCTGTGGGTCTTTCTTACTTTGGTCCAAGAAAAATTTAATTATCCTAGTTGTCAACACATCATTCAACTTCCTGTCAAGACAAAATGACCCAAATAAGTTAAAGATTAAAGGACATGTATATCCCAATTTAAGCATCAAGAAAAATAAGACTCAGATTTAAATTTATGAGGTTGATAAATCAAAAACTGTGACAAGTTAAAATTAAATAGTCGCTTTCATTAAAGCATTGTTGTCACCCCCTTATTATATAACAGGTAAATTCACTAAAGATATAGCACTAATGGATGACATTATATCCATTTACAATATTGTTATTTGTGTCATTATTAAAATAACTTGAACACGTTAACTATTTGGTTACATTGTCCACTTAAGATACATTTTCTTATGAAAAGCTGTTTTTCAACTACTGTCATGAAACTGTTTTCAATAAATTCAAATTCATCCACTAATGATACTTTTGGTGTAAAAGTATCAATATCGGATGCAAAGTAATTATTGTAGTCACACCTTTGTTGACATGATGGGTATTTATTTATTGACATGGACGCCATTACGTTTTACCTGATGAGAGCACTATCCTGTAGGAGTTCTCTACTCAAGTTTAGAGGGATATCCTCACTATCCACAACACCTGTATAACAAAATAACCAGGATAATAAGTCATATGACCTATCCACAACAACTGTATAACTAAATCACCAGGATAATAAGTCACATGATCATAATATGGTAACATGTGGTCCTGTCCTGCTGTTCTTGACAAAAGTATATTAAAGATTTCTTCTATAAACTTTTCTATTCCAAAGTAAAACTTTGACTCCCTATATTGAAGCCTCAACTTAGCCCCCTAAGGCCTAGCTTTGAATAAAAATCAAAGTACACTACATGGGGATACTTGATTATTAATTTGACTTAAATGTGCTTTTCCTCAGAGGATGATTTTAAAAGATTACTTTAACCCCCTATTGTAGCCCATTCATTTGAACAACCTTGTATCCCCTTTACCAAAGGATTCTTTATGCCCCACTTGGTTAAAATTGTCCCAGTAATTCCGAAAAAGTCTGAACCAAAAGTTAACAGAATGACCAAACAAACAATGGGCAAGGTAACAATTTTACAGCATGTTGTTGAAGTATAGAGTAGAATAAGCATACATGTATGCTCACAGAATAAGAGAAGAAAGATGACTGACCTTTCATGAACCTTAACCACCTGGGAAGGATGTGACTAGCTCGTGGCATGATCATCACTTTTCTACTGTATAGGTTAACACTCACATCTGTTTCACGGCTCATGTCAAACATGGCTGAAAAAGATCAAACTTAAAACTCTTCATTTCAAGACTAAATGTTATCTGATATTTGGTTTTTTTTTATTTCCTGTGTTACATCATAAATATTGTAAAATGGAACATTAATGCATGCAGATGCTTGAAATGATGAAATTTTGTGAAGGCTATACAACGTCTAGCAACACTAAATCAAACTCCACTTACTGGGCTTATACTCTGGTACGTAAAACAGAGCTCGGATGTTTAAGGGAGCATCAATTTTGTACTGAAGTGTGTAGCGTGGTTTGTCATACACATTTCCAATGAAGCGATAAAATTCCTCATGCATGTCATCAGTGATGTCCTTGGGATCCATCATCCATAACGGCTGTAATGGAAATTAAAGAGAGTATGTATCCTGTTTATCTTAATATACCTGTACTTTATGAAATACTCTTCTTTTGGCATTAACTAAAAGACTCAGGATTTTTTTCAACTTGTACAGAACATGTTACATACCTGTATGATATTTGCTCGCTTTCCATTCAGGTAAATTGGAACACCAACAAAATTGCTGTATTTCTTAATAACCTCTGCAGTGAATACAGACAATTATCAAAAGACAGAGACAACTTAAAAAACACTTTGTCATTTATAATTAATGTTAGAGTATGTATGAATAAAATGGTTGATGAAATTACAGTCAAACATCATTATCTCAAACTCAAGTGGACCAAGATTAAACTTCAAGATATCTGCGGATTTGAGATATCAAGGGTAAAAAACGTAAAGCAAAAGTGGTTTAGATCTACCAAACTCTCTTTGATATATCCCTGGTACTCAAGATATTGGTGTTTGAGATAACAAAGTATAACTGTTATATTAATAAATACAACAGCAACTTTTGCATGTCAGATGGCTTGGCCCATGGACACCTCAGACAAATCACTCTGTCTGGAAAACTGATCAACCTAAGATTTTGACACTTCAACCCACTGATACTTTTTTGCCAGAAAAGTTCACTTGAACCTTTGCATCAGATGAGCTAAATAAACCTCCATTTGCCTATTTAAGTGTTTATTATTAGGACCAAACTGTATATATAAATATATACGATATAAAGCAAATCTCAATATTTGGGCCAACTTGTCAAAATGCTTTGGCCAATCAATCTGATCTGAACACTTAAGCAATGTTGAATAAGGTGTCATTGGTCTGACCTGTCTGGTTGCCTTTGATACCAACCTTTGATGCGTTCTTCCTTGGCAAAGTCATAACTGTCTCCTTTTAAATGAAGAACAATTTTTGTCCCTCTTTGAACTCCTTCAGCTTCTGCGATGTCATAACTTCCAGTGCTTTAGTGAGAATATATGTAAATGCATTCATTATTGTTAACATTTCTTTTAAAGGGAAACTTTGAAACTATAAATGGTTTATACAAGTATGTTTACTTTGTACAGTGATACAGCTGTCTATAATTAACTACAGTACCCAGAACAAATATTTCAGATAATGAGATGATAAAAACTCAATGTTGAATCCACTATCACTTATAAGAACATAGAATTGAGATGCTAACCCATCAGATATCCAGGAGAATGCCTGGCTTCCAGGCTTGTTAGATTGTGAGAACACTTCTACTTTCTCTGCCACCATGAAAGAGGAATAAAATCCTACTCCAAACTGACCAATGATGTTGCTGCTCACTTCTTCTGGCTTTTTAGTTATAGATTCTAAGAACTCCTATAAAATGAATAGCAGTACATGCACACTGAAAGCAAAATAGAACTTGTATCCAATGCAGGTAGTCAAAACTACAAGCATGACCTATAATATACCTACCTTGGAGCCAGACTTGGCAATGGTTCCAAGGTTTTCAATCATTTCTTCCTTGGTCATACCTATGCCAGTATCCTATAAAAATATCAACATTTATAATTACTCTTCCTTCCTTTATTAAAAATCCCTATAATTTTTCAAAAAACTATTTGCAATAAAAGGAATTGAATTCACTCAATTTTGCAGAAAAAGATATCCACATCAATGAGTGTAACAAAGTCTTCAATGCTCTTGATGTGTTATATACCTGTATTGTGAATGTCTTTTTACTTTCGTCCACTCGGATGTGTTATATACCTGTATTGTGAATGTCTTTTAACTTTCGTCCACTCGGATGTGTTATATACCTGTATTGTGAATGTCTTTTTACTTTCGTCCACTCGGATGTGTTATATACCTGTATTGTGAATGTCTTTTTGCTTTCATCCACTCGGATGTGTTAAATACCTGTACTGTGAATGTCTTTTTACTCTCGTCCACTCGGATTTGTTATATACCTGTATTGTGTTCGTCCACTCGGATGTGTTATATACCTGTATTGTGAATGTCTTTTTGCTTTCGTCCACTCGGATGTGTTCTTTTCCTGTATTGTGAATGTCTTTTTGCTTTCGTCCACTCGGATGTGTTATATACCTGTATTGTGAATGTCTTTTTGCTTTCGTCCACTCGGATGTGTTATATACCTGTATTGTGAATGTCTTCTTGCTTTCGTCCACTCGGATTTGTTATATACCTGTATTGTGAATGTCTTTTTGCTTTCGTCCACTCGGATTTGTTATATACCTGTATTGTGAATGTCTTTTTGCTTTCGTCCACTCGGATTTGTTATATACCTGTATTGTGAATGTCTTTTTACTTTCGTCCACTCGGATGTGAATCTCCATGGGTACATCAGAGTCTCGAATGTCCGAATCTGTCATCTGTAGATATCGTAACTTTTCCAGGGCATCACTGGCATTAGAAATCAGCTCTCGAATAAACACCTAAATCATAACATTCATGTGTTTACATATAATCATTACCTTCTTCATAAAGTGTGCCAGATAATGTCAATTCCATGTTCCCAGAATGTGAGCTTTCTTATTGACATTTAGGTAAAACAGATGAAATTAAAGTGTGTAAATATTATGGTCTAATGTTGCTGAAAAGTTTTCATTCTTTAATTCACTCTGCATCTGAAAATTTTGGTCATATATTTTCAAACTAAGTGGTATGTTGGGCAATTATTCGTTCTCGTGTTAAATCTTATCATTGAAAGATAAATTAAATGATAAGAAATAAATCTTTTAACTTTTTCTTTGATCGATGTATCAAAGAAACTTGGACGAAAAACTTCATCAATGCTTAATTCTAGTTGGTTTTAAAAAAACAAGAGGCCCATGGGCCACATCGCTCACCTGAGCACAGTGGATATAGGCAAAAGCACAAATCAGTTCAGTATTGAAAAGATTCGGGGGGGGGGGGGGGGGGGGGGGGGCTTGAATTTTAAACTACCTGATGATGCTTCCATGTCAAAATAACAAATGGCTTTGTTGTACTTGAGAAGATTTTAAAAAAATTTCTGATATATTCCTTTGTAAAAATTTGATCCCCCCTTGTGGCTCCTCCCTATCCCAGGGGTCATCATTTGAACAAACTGGAATCTACACTACCTGAGGATGCTTCCATATCAATATGACTAAACATAGCTTTTCTGTTCTTGAGAAGAAATATTTTTTCTATATGTTCTTATGTAACATTCAATCCTCCATTGTGGCCCCATCCTACTCTCGGGGGTCATCATTTGAACAAACTTGAATCTACACTACCTGAAGATGCCTCCATATCAATATGACTAAACATAGCTTTTCTGTTCTTGAGAAGAAATATTTTTTCTATGTGTTCTTATGTAAAACTTTCTATCCCCCTATTGGGCCCCACCCTACCCTCGGGGGTCATCATTTGAACAAAATTGAATTTACACTACCTGATGATGCTTCCATATCAAAATGACTAATCATGGCTTTGCAGTTCTTCATCAGAAGAAATCTTCCTATATATTTCTATTTCAGACTTTGATCCTCCATTGTGGCCCCACCCAACCCCAGGGGGGCAACATTTGAACAAACTTGAATCTACACTACCTGAGTATACTTCCACATAAATATGATCAATCAGGGCTTTGCTGTTCTTGAGAAGAAGATTTTTAAAGATTTTTCCTATATATCTCTATGTAAAACTTTTATCCTCCTTTGGGGCCCCACCCTACCCCCAGGGGTCATGTTTGGACACACTTAAATCTATACTACCTTAGGATGCTTCCATATCAATATGATCAATTAGGGCTTTGCTGTTATTGAGAAGAAGATTTTTAAAGATTTTTCCTATATGTTTCTATGTAAAACTTTGATCCTCCATTGTGGCCCCGCCCTACCCCCGGGGGTCATGATTTGAACAAACTTGAATCTACACTACCTGAGGATGCTTCCATATAAATATGACCAATGATGGCTTTGCTGTTCTTGAGAAGAAGATTTTTAAAGGTTTTTCCCATATATTTCTATGTAAAACTTTGATCCTCCATTGTGGACCCGCCCTACCCCCGGGGGTCATGATTTGAACAAACTTGAATTTACACTACCTGAGGATGCTTCCATATAAATATGACTCATCATGGCTTTGCTGTTCTTGAGAAGAAGATTTTTAAAGGTTTTTCCCATATATTTCTATGTAAAACTTTGATCCTCCATTGTGGCCCCGCCCTACCCCCGGGGGTCATGATTTGAACAAACTTGAATCTACACTACCTGAGGATGCTTCCACATGAGTTTCATCTTCCCTGGCTTTGTGGTTCTTGAGAAGAAGATTTTTAAAAGATGCTATTAATTTTTCACTAATTCTTTATTATCTCCCCTTGAAAGAGGGCGTGGCCCTTCATTTGAACAAACTTGAATCCCCTTCACCCAAGGATACTTTGTGGCAAGTTTGGTTGAAATTGGCCCAGTGGTTCTTGAGAAGAAGTCGAAAATGTGAAAAGTTTACAGACAGACGGACGGACAGAAGGACAGACGGACTACAGACAAAATGTGATCAGAAAAGCTCACTTGAGCCTTCGGCTCAGGTGAGCTAAAAAGTAATCAATATATTGACATATTGACACAAATAAATTGTGGCAAAAGGGTTAAAAAAAAACCATTGGCACAAATGATCATCACCCTTGAGATCCAGTTTACCAAGATATGAATACATGTAGTTTGCTTTAATAATTAAAATAAATTAGATGAGATTTTATATTTCTTGGTTATACATTCTCTAAATATACCTCCTTTTCTGAATACAGTGATCTAGCAACAATATCCAGTAATTTTCTGGTCTCAGCTTGAAATTCATGATGATCCAGTGGACCTGGTTAACAAAAAAATATCAAGCATAAATGTGAGGTATTATTAGGGAATGGTGAAGTACAGTTCATGCATCATTTTTTTCATAAAATGAACCCTAATTTGATGCACCAACAAAAAACAAGATGTGTTTGTGAAACACTGATGCCCCGTATGACAGTTCATAGCTGCAATGATGTAGCCCTCTTCGATTTCTTTTTAATCTGATATTTTCAAGTTTTCCTCTCCCAGAAAAAAAAATCGGTGAGGGCTACATTATTGCAGCTAGGCAGTTCAATGCCAATTAAGGTAAAAGTTTTTCAAATGTAGGTTTAACATCAAGATCAAGAGTTCAAACATGTTGGTACCCAAAGAAAGGTATTGTCACAAGGAATACACAAGAAATGTGAAAGCCTCAACACGAACCATTTAGAAATTGTGGCCAAGGTTTAAATTTTTCCAAAGTAGGTCATACTACAAGATCAAGGTCATGAGGTCAAAAAATCTTCCATTATGGGGACATAAAAATGAATAAAGTATCAGTGTGCAAAACTCCAGTTACAGGACTAAGACTGGAGAAATATAAAAAAAAATTAACATCCTGTTTACTGTCTGATCTACTCAAAATGTGCCTGTTATACTAACCTTGTCTGTTCTACTGACTGACTTTTTCAATTTGTCTGTTTCATTGACCTGATCTACTGAATTTTTGCCTGTTCTGTTCTACTGACCTTTTATCTGTTTTCCTAAATTCCTGCCCATTCTACTGATCGTTTGCCTTTTTTGTTTCCTTCTGCACATTCTTCTGACCTTTTGTCTCTTCTAAACTTTTATTGCCATTTTACTGACCTTTTGCTCGTTCTGTGTCCTTTATAAGCGTGTGATACTCCTCTTCTGTTGGTTCAGCGGTGACAGTCTGCTCATTGTCTGAACTAAAATAGTATGGACTGGTGCTGAATGATCTAGTCCAAGGCACTATATTTTGAGCTTGGTAAACGGGAACAAATCCTGAAAATAAATAGAATGCATTTTTTTTTTCCATCAATCAACTTGAAACCAATATTAGACCAATATACAAAATTTCTTACTTTATCAGTATCTTCAGCTTTCTATCATAAAAACTACATTGTCCCGTGGGCCAGGTTAAGCAAACAGAAGACCCCCCTTCAATATCAGCAGCATATATAAGGTATCAAACATTTTCATATAGATTAAAACCCAGGGACCTGTGCTTTACAAAGTTGTTAGCCAATTTCGGGTACACTCTTAAACAAGTTGGGACCATTTACACTTATATTATAAAGGAGTAACTTTTGGTTACCAAGTTTTTCTGTATGCCCATTGTTTAGGAGATTGATCCCTCGGAAGTTCTTTAACTTCATGGGAATCAATCTAATAAACTGTAGGGTTGCAGAAAAACTTGCTTGCCAAAAGTTATTCCTTTTTAAGAATTTGATGCGGATTTAGATATTAATTGCCAAAATAAAAATTTTCATTTATTGCACTATCATACATGTGATAAGTCAAAGACCACAAAACTGTACAGGAGCCATAAAAAAACTGGAATTTGGGTGAAAAAACTGTACACTGCCTATCAAAAAACGGTACAAAAAAATGGTATAAAATATCGCTTAAATTCTTCTGAAATTCCATCATAATCATTGTAATAAACATCGTATATTTTATACCTACGAAGATCTGGGTCAGATTCACGTATATTAAGACTAAAGTCATGTATATCAACTTTAGAAGTTGGCTTATTTTTTTCAATCAAGTTACGTATACGAAACATTAACAGTAATTAAGTACCCCTTAAAAAATAAAGCTACCTAAAGGGGTATTTGATACAGATTTATAGCAAGATAATTATCCCAATTGGCAGTTCACACCTTCGCACGTGATGGTTTGTGTACACTACACAATTATCAGAAGGTCAAGTGTCAAACACAGGTGACGTTTTCCAGGAGTGTTGGTAAAATGGGTAGGCAAACCCGGGCCGGGGCAAATTAAAAACCGGGGCTGTTCAAGATTTTTCAATTTTCTGTCTTAATACTTTATCAATCAAGCTGAAATTTTCAGATTATGTTTAATATAAGTTTATTTGTATTCACTGTAAAAATTACCTTGAAATACTCGCTATAATAGATTTTATCGGCGATTGTTGATTTCCAAGTTGGTAAAATGGGTAGGCAACAGTAAGATGAGTAAGCCGACATTTAACGATTTTTTTTGACATATTTGTCTCGCGAGCGAGAATGAGAGGAAAATGGCGGCATTTAGCGAGAAATTCAAAATACTGTACAAATTTTCATATTCCGTGAATTTTGGAGTCCCGCCGGTACACGATGAATGGGCTCAAAAAACTGTACATTTTGCGTACAGCCTGTACATATCACATGTATGCACTATAAAATTATATCCCATTTGGGATATTATATCCCAAACAGGCTATTATATCCCATTTGGGCGAGTGGTCCCAACCTGTTAAAGAAATTGCATCAACCGAGCAAATTCTGTCAATCCCTAAAATGAATAAAACAATAACATTTAAACTAAAAAAAAATATTGCAAACCTTGTGGTTTTATTTTATATTTCTGGAATGCTGTACTGTATCTGGAGTATGATCTCAGGGAAGCTAAAAACGACCTTCGAGTGGAGAGCAAACATGTGTAACTGGACGCAGCCATTTTTTTCTCAACCTTGAAGGAATTCTAAGCTTGGGAACTGGACACGATCACATTCCGGATATGTGAATTTATTTTTAAAAAAACGCATTCAATTGTGCATTATTATTCTTTCCATTTCAAATATTTCATGAAGCATATATGCAATTTCACCTAAGTTAAAGGGGTGAAGTTCAACCACCTTGAATATGAAATAGCATAGGCGTCGGGAGCAAATTGAAAAGGGGGGGGGGGGGGTAACTGCAAAAAAAAAAAAAAAACTTGACAAGCAAAAGAAAAAAAAATTGAAAATTTTCCAAACCCGAAGTCTTATTTCGTGGGGGGAGGGGGGGGGTGTTACGATCGAACTTCTTTCAGTACCAAATTTTCTTTTTAAACGCTACCACTTACCTTTCTTTGATTACACTGCAATGTGCCTGTTGAAAGTGGGGGAGGGGCTAAACCTACGCCCCAATGTTCGATGCCTATATCATGTCTATCTTTGCAAAAAAAGGAGGGGCTAAGCCCACCATAGCCCCCCCCCCTCCCCGGTTCCGACGCCTATGAATAGAAATGAGACATTTGTTTAACGGACTGAAGGGTACCTTTTAGAAAAATTGAGGGACGTTAAACAAGATATTATTTACCATGGCCTAATTTTGAACTTGGACATGTTTATTTGCAGATAAATAAGTTTAATATTCGGGGAATATGACAGAGTTCCATTTATAGAATTAAACCAAAACGGGATATTTTTTCTGAAGTTCCTTTGACGAAGCATAAGCATTAAAAATAAAATCCTTAAGTTATAAGAAAAATGAAATCGTCCAGGTTCTGTAAAAACTCCAAACACCAAATACTCGTATGTAAGTAAGAAAGTATGCAGTTTCTCTCATTTTTATTTTTTCAAGGTCCCGAAATTGCACAACGATACAAAATGATAAGAAGATATATGTGAACAAAAATATGAAATGGTACACTTGTGTAAGGATTGTGATAGTTGAAAATGAAGTTAGCTTCTATTGCTTTTTGCGCAATTATATTTGTGGAAAGAGTTAAGGAACCAGAAGCTGTGAAATAAATTCCCAGATATAATGTTGAAGTCATTCAATCATTTGTATTGTTGAACAAAACCTTTTTTTCTGGATACATCTATCACCTTATTGAAAACAGAAGGATTCAAAGACAATCATAACAATATATGCTCTCGATGTGTATCGACATTAAGCTAGATCGAGTTCCCCTGATTTGCTTCCATTGCATATATATAGATCCGCTACTGCTTTGTGACTGCATACATGTATGTTTGTTTTAATTTAATCGAAACGATCCGTTATTCAGCAAAACTTAATACTTTACACAAGAAGACAGTACTTAAACACACATCAAGCTTTCTCTTCCTGCTTCGCAAGGATTATTTCTCGTGACATCATGTTTTTTTTTTTATACACGCCTGCATGGTCTCCACAGGTGAACTTTGTTTGGAGGTCATGTTTACAAACAGAATGTTTTGTCGGACATTCCTGTTGATTTCTCTAACATATGGATATTTTATTCAACTTAGTTATTCCAAAACACGCTGTCCTAAGCACTTCTGTACTTGTACCAGTCGGACAGTGTCCTGTGTAAAACACGGAGACCGTTTAAGGTATATCCCAACCCTTCCAGAGAACACGGAAGTATTGGTGTTCAAGGGGAATTCCCTCCCGTCTGTCACTCGAGACACGTTCCGGAATATAACAAATCTCCGGCTCAGGGAACTGGTTCTCGGAGGGAATCAAATTAAGAACATTTCAAGTGATGCCTTTGAAGTTTTCAATCAGCTGACTTTCTTAGACCTTAGTGGGAATCAGATTTCTGTGTCGATCCTGAAGGACAGTTTTCACGGACTTCGTTACAGTAGACTGAAGAAATTGTATCTGATCCAGATGGATCTACCAGACTTGCCAGAGGACATGTTTTACCATCTGCAGAATGTTTCTACTCTTGAGGGAATTTCCCTTAATGGAAATAGTCTAACAAAATTTTATGGGCGGGTGTTTTCAGTCTTACCAGGATTAAGAAATATTGGCCTCAACAACAACTACATTAATAAAACAGACTTTGAAGGTGCCCATCACTTAAAGGTTATTCGGCTACGATATAATAAATTATACAGGGTGCCAATCTTTTGTAACTCTTCAAAGTCACTTGTTCCTAATTTAAGGGTCATCGATCTAGGCCAGACCCGCATTTCTGAAATTAACAGAAACAAACTTAGAGGCATTTGTCTACCAAGACTTCGAAATCTTACTTTAGATGGAAATCCCCTCCAGGTCATTCCAAACAACACGTTTTCAGACCTACCTTCTCTGGTACGTCTCTCTATTAAGTATTTACTTTCAAATGATATTGTATTTGAAACTACATGTTTCAATAGCTCTTCATTGCGTCTTTTGTACATTGCAAACCACATGAACATGTTTCCGGATGTCAACGGTCCAAGTCAACCTATGTCAGATTACAAAAACATATTTCGATACTGCCGTGGGTTGCAGGTACTGGACATGACAAAGATTCGACTGACCACCTACGATGGAGTGATGCTTTACGAACTCCTTCACCACCTGACCAGTCTAACCAAGCTGATTCTACAAAGCACCTCCGCACTGACTCTCCCAGGAAACTTGTTTTCAGAAATGCCATTCCTGAAATCCCTTAACTTGCAAAAGTGTTTACTGAGCAGATGGGAGAGTTGGGTATTTGAAAATGTTACATCGGTTAAAACTTTGTATCTTGATGGCAACGAAATTGCGATAATTAACAAGACCTCTTTCCCCCGAGAATTTTTGAAAAACATAAAACGTCTGTCCCTGGGAAAGAACCCGTACCTCTGTACATGTGATTTAATGTGGTTCCGGGACTGGCTTAGGAACAATACGAAAGTTCTGCTTCTCTGGCCATTTGCATATCAGTGTAAATCCCCCAGAAACTGGGCAGGAAAAACTCTGTCGGAATTCAACCTGTCTTATTCGGAATGTCATCCACTGAATCCCTATGTCGTTGCAGCCGCTGCTGTGTCTGCAGCTCTAGCTCTGGTTGTCATTATTGGTAGTGTGATATATTATTATCGATGGCACATTAAATACTACATATATTTAATGCGTGCCAGGAAACGTGGATACGAACCGTTACCCGGTGAGGACGATTTCATGTATGACGTATTTGTTGCTTATCACTCAAACGACCGTGTCTGGGTAATTTCGGAGTTAATTCCGTGTTTGGAAAAGAAAGAAAATCTTAGACTTTGCCTTCATGATCGAGATTTCGATGTCGGCAAATTGATTATTGATAATATTACCGAGAACATTCACGGAAGCCGTAAAGTGGTCTTGCTATTAACCAACAACTTTGTCCGGAGTCGCTGGTGTACGTTTGAGATGACCCTGGCCCAGGCCCTGGACGTGGAGGGCGGGAGGAGTTCTCTAGTCGTTGTGATGTTGGAAAACATTGAAATTCAAAATATGTGTAACTCTTTGCATATTCTACTGAAAACAACGACTTTCTTAGAATGGCCCACTGATAAGTCTGTGAGGGAACTTTTTTGGAGAAGACTTGTAGCATCCGTTAAGTCATAGTTTTCTTGTGTAGATCCTACTAGTCCATATGTTTTATTTTCAGAATGGGTTATATATGATCAAGGGTGTTTTTTATGATTCTCATAAATGTGTTATAGAAATGATACTATATAAATAAAAATAAATTTATCAATATAAAAATTGTAAACCCATAAAACGGAACACAGCCGTGAACATTAACAGCAATTGATACATAAATGGACAAGATGCAACAAGATAATTTATCTTATAACGACTTTGAATGATTAACATAAACCAAACACAAATAGCCTGGATTTTGTCTCTGTATATTTAAAATGATTTCAAATAAAGACTTCAACCATGTCTGGTATGATGGAATGAATGAACAGTGGATGGACTGAAAAATGAAGGATTGACAAAATAAAAGCTTACATGTTCTTTCTCAGAATTCTGACAAGAACATATACAGTTACACAAAATTTGACAAAATCTTCGCCCTGATCAATGGTTGACTGATTTTCTTTATCGCTCACAATTACTGGTACAGGATTATTTTCGCCTTTCACACTTGAAAACAAGTTTTAAATTTAAATTCGCCCAGACACAGGAGATAACGATTTTTACTTTGAATTCGCCCCGTTTTAAAATCGCCCATTTGCGACGAGGGCGAAAGGGGGGAAAATAAAACGGGGCGAACATTTCACTGTATACAGTATACTGCAACCAAAAGGGAATTAGAGTTTTAGGTTCCCCGTCCCCCTTTTATTACTTTATTAAAGTCCAGGCTTTTTGATATCATTGACAGCTGCTTTTTCAATAAAAATGGAACTCGTGAATTTACTTACCTTGTCATTGGTCATTTGCAAAATTATTTTAATTGTACAAAACATTCTGATTGTACACACAAGTACTCTGAAGTTGATATTAAAAAGATGCTTGAGTTTCTGATTGACAATATCTATGTGGTATTTGGAGACCAGATCTTCCAACAATCTGTTGGAATACCCATGGGTACCACTTGCGCCCCTTGTTAGTAGTACTATTTTTGTATTCATATGAAGCAGAATTCGTTCAAAATCTTATACATGAGAAAAAGAAATATCTTGCTGTGGCCCATCGTCGGATACCCACGGGTGATCTCTTAAACTCAACATTTAGATATATCGACGACGTATTATCAATTAACAATAGTTATTTTCATTCATATGTCGACACAATATATCCCAGTGAGCTTGAAATAAAAGATACCACAGCGTATAACACATCTGTTTCATATTTGGATATTTGGATACAATGACCTTGTCAGCAAATACAATCTATCATTTAGTCATATGTTGACTGATGCATATGTTTTTCATACTGATTGTTAGGCCATTATTTACACACTGAATTGTCAACGGATTTTTCCGTTATTTTCCGATCATAACAAGGAGCACACGGCGGGTGTGACCGGTCGGCAGGGAATGCTCATGCACTTGATCCCACATCTGATGTTTTTGGAGGTCCGCGTTCGCTCTGCTCCCGATTTGCTCCTGATTTGTATTGTTTTAATTAACTTTGAGCTTGAATAATGTTCGTTATCTCCATATTTCATTTATTATTTACTTTATTTATAGAAACACGTATTTTCAACAAATTCCTCTCATTATGTAATGGACCATTCGTTTAAAAAATTTCTTCGATAACATTATATAGTGACTTGCAGAAAATACTTAGGTTGATGCACAGGGAAGTTATTAAGGAGATTCTATGATAAACCTTCCGTTTTTATATCAGAATTTAATGACATGGATTTTTTGTTGTAATGTTTTCATAAATTTTTGAAACTTACAGAGAAATAATAATAATTAAAAAAAAAACGAATATAAACCTTGCCAGCAAAGTCTCTATATACAGTAAAAGCATTGTATGCATTTAACAGGTGTATGTCAGAACTTCCTACTTGGACAAACAACACAAAAAATTAACATATATGCTCACAATTCCTGAAAAATCAAATGTCAATATATACTTATAGATATGTCTTTACTTTAGACCTATACTATACAATATATTCAATAAGTATTTCAAAATAATGCGAAGGAAATGAAACTATAGAATGTTCAGTGTCAGGCCCGTAGCAACGGTTTCATTCAAAAGAGGGGGGAGGGCAACTTCCCAAAAATTTGACAGACAAGAAAAAAAAAACGTAAACTGGCCAACAGTGGTGGCAACATCTGACAAGCAAAAAAAGGGGTTATTTACTGTTCATATACTAGAATTTTCCAGTGCTCGTCCTTACAACATCAAAAAAGGGGAAGGGGGGGGGACCAGCATCTAAAGGAAAATTACTATACTCAGACTCTTGTTACAGAGGTGCTTAATGACAAGAAGGACACGCTCTATATCGTAGATTCAAAACGTTAACAAAAGTTAGGTGAGATCTGAATAGTGTAATAAAAGCAACTCTTTATATTTTTATTACAGACTTGCTAAAAAGGAGACCACTGAAAGACTCTTGTTGATTGAGGGTCATTGATCAAAGACTGTGATAGGTAACTTTATGAACTTAGTCGCAAAAGTAGTTTAACGGATCGCAACTTGCTAGAGAGATGCATGGTGGTCAGAGGAAGAGGCCTGGTGAATTAAGGGTCACAAGACAGTGATACATGTAAACTAAAATGTAGACAATGTAAAGAGTAGGCCTTAATTAGTTCAGTTTCATGCTGCCTTTACAGACACATACAGACAGACAGACAGACATGTGTACAGTTTAAAGAGCATGAATTGGCTCCTACAGACACATAGAGAGATATGTGTACAGTTTAAGGAATATGTCTTAATTTTTCAGCTTCATGCTGCCTTTACAGACACATACAGACAGACAGACATGTGTACAATTTATAGAGCAAGAATTGATTTTTCTCAGTTTCTTGCTGCCTACAGAAACATAGACTTGTGTACAATTTATGGAATATGACTTGATTTTTTCCGTTTCATGCTGCTTTTACATACATACAGACAGACAGACAGAAATGTGTACAATTTATAGAGCATGAAGTAATTTTTCTCAATTTCTTGCTGCCTACAGATGCGTACAATATAAGGAGCATGACTTGATTTTTTTTTCAGTTTCATGCTGCCAACAGATACATAGACAGACACGTGTACTATTTAAGGAGTATGGCTTAATCTTTGTTTTAGTTTCATACTGCCTGCAGACACACAGACAGGCACGTGTACAATGTAAAGATTAAAGAGCCTCACTTTATTTTTTGTCAGCTTCAATATGCTGCCTACAGACATACGTACATGGCCCCCATGGGAACAAGTTTAATGAAGCATGATTTTATATATCATGAAGACCTCAGCATTGTTGGTGATGCTCATTCAATGTGCATAAGTGATGCTCAACCCCACAGTAATGTATCGTATACACTCGGAATACGAACATTTTACATAATCCCTTCTCTTCAATTCTAAGCTAACAGTACTTTTAGTATGCTCTATTTTTATATGAAACTTTTATTTTGAAGCTGAAAGAATACACGAGTTTCACATTCTTAAGAGTTTTCTCTCTTTGATTGACCCCGCAAAGGGAAGTAACTTTTGTAAAAGTGAAAGTCGTCTTAAGTTATAATAGGAAATGGCGGCTAAATACTTGTACTTGGCATCCAAAGAGACTATATCCCCAAGGAGAGAAACTTATAATCGTCTCATATATCATACAAAGTCACTCCATTTATGTGTATATTGTAATCAGGGCCATCGTTGTAATACCAGACAAATTTACTGCAACAAATTCAATTAAAACATAACTTTACGTTAAATACTTTTTCACGGGTGTACTATGCGTCTTTGGAGTGAATTAAATTTAGTGATTCAAACTAGTCCCTCTTTATCGAGCCTCCAAAATTCATTTATCAAACTTTTTTTAAAAGTAAGATTTGGTGAACTTCAGCATATAAAACTAAGATTTGAGAGCAGCTCTCTGTATTTACATATTTAGAAATCTGTAGAACTTGTTCTTGTGGTGCAATCGAATCAATTCACTTTCTTATACATTGAACAATTTAATTAAAGCACCACGAAAATGGAACATTTCTACAAAAGCTACAGTAGCGCATGGCTTTATGATGTTCATTCACGATTCTACAATAGGTACAATGGCCCATAGCTTTATGATGTTCATTCACGATTCTACAATAGGTACAATGGCCCATAGCTTAGTTTTATGATTTTCATTCTTTATCTTTATGATCCTCAACATCGTTCGGAAATGGGAATAAAACTATTTTTGACAATGTTCAACAACTTGCTGGTTGAAAAAAGATTTTAACGAGGTTCCCGGCAAGAGATTTATTTTAGAAAAATTAAAAAAAGAAAATACTTAGTGATGCACTTGGCTTGGTATTTTAGTATTGTTAAATTCTACCCATCCAGACATAGTATCAAGGGGAGGGGGGGGGGGCGGTTCCCCCAAACAATTTTCTCAGAAAAGTCTCTCACAGTTAATTTAGTATTAAAATTTTCTCTTAGAGGCTGGTTGATCCCTCGTCTGACAACCCACCATAAATTTTGTTTTGTTTTTTGGTTTCGTATTTTGTTTTGTTTTTGTTTTTGTTTGTGTGTATATGTTTCTCTGTTTTTGTTTGTTTTGTTTTAGCCGTTTGTTTGTTTTTGTTTTTGTCTGTCTGTTTTCGTTTCATGTTTGTTTGTTTTGTTTGTTTGTTTGTTTTTTTTTTTGTTTTTGTTTTGTATTCTATTTTTTTTTTTTTTTTTTTTTTTTTTTTTGCAGTCAGTGTTTTTGCAGACACTTTTGCTTCTCCGTTTTTTTTTTTCTTTGCTCGCTTTGCCGAGATCTTTTTTTTTTTAATCGCCTTCTCCCTTCCACTCTAGCTGCAATAATGTAGCCCTCTCCGATTTTTTTCTCTCTCTTTAAAATATCAGATTAAAAAAAATCGAAAGGGCTACATTATTTCAGCTATTCCACTCACACACTTTGAGAAATAATGCTTCGTCCCTGTTATTTAATTCACTTATCTATTTTGTTGATTTATTTTGTTGTCATTCAATAGGTTCTAATTTACCTCTAATTCAAATAATTTACATGAATTTATCCATAAACAATTATTAAT